TTTTACTTATAAATTTTAAGAAATTAGGAACCAAAATACTCTTTAAATATGAATTGAGGTTCCCAATAAATGTATTAAAATTAGGCTACAGTGAAAAGTTGCAAAAACTCAAATTCCTTACCTCTAACATACACATAGATTGATGCAACATGGCTCCTATCCTCCAAATTTGATGAATGTGTGGTATCGGTATCATTATCAACACATCTGTAGTATCCGGTTTGCAAGTACATTAAGTTTGGGACCTCTAAATGAATAATGTACGGCTGGTCATCTATTTTCCTCTCAAAATAAACACTCTTCTTTGCGTGCTCTTCAGCAGTCTATTCAAGAAAAATGGATAAAAATTAATTTCGTTTTTCACAGCACTATGTACCAACAGTTTGCTGAAAGATTAGATCACCTCTGGTATGACCCAGCGCACGGGGAAGGCGCTCTGGCAGCGCAGCTTGAGGGTATCGTTCGAGTCCAGCACGTAGTCGTCCAGCTCGGGGTCGATTCTCGGACCAGGAGGACGCCGCGGAACTGCCCTGCCTGGAACGCAAAGATAGGCAAATGATCAGATCATGGTGCACCCGTCTATTGGTCAGAAGCTGGCTGCCTAACAGCCCACCCGCGGTCCTGCCGCCCACAGGGGATGCCCAAGGACACGAAGGACGCCATAGTACAGACTACAGACCCATGGACTGGCTTGCCATGAGATAGACCAGCATCACTAGGGAAGCACTAGATGGGCTGCACTAGAGTCACGGTGCTGCTGTCAGGGCGAGACGGGGGGTGGGACCTTGTGGGACCCAACGACCCAGCAGGTCCTCAACGCAATGCCACACCTCATCACTGTTCTCTGTTGCTTGGGCCGACCCAGACCCCCTGCAGGGTGGGCGCCAAGACGTCATCAGGCGCCATCTGGGCTGTCGGGTTAACACCGCGAAGACTATAGGAGCTAACCTAGCCCCGAGGCTAGCCCACAACTTCAGCATCTCTGTAAAACCTCAGGGAAGTCCCAGCTGTTCTTGCTTATTCGAAAAGCTTAACTGTTTGTTTTTAAATCCGTGTGAACCCCGGCTTGTTTCGGCGGTGGGCCGGTGAGGGGAAGAAAAGGGAGGGAGGGGCATTCATTTGAGGACAAAAGGGCCATGGTGCAGGAGCAGGCCGGCATGCGAGCGGAGCGGTCAAGCCAGGAGTGAGGCGCGGCGGGGCGGGTCGAGGCGCGCGGGACTCGCAGGAAGTAGTCGCTTGTTGCCAATGTCAGGCCGGGCCGGACCAGCGAATAAACACTCAGTCACTTGTGGCCTGTTGTGGCGGCCGCGGGGATGGACCTAGGAGAGCCAAGCCGAGCCGACCTCTCCTGGACGCCGCCGCCGTGGTCCGCGCGCCACATGCGGGCCAGGTCAGCGGCCGGGCCGGGCGGGGCTGGGGACGGCGGGGGAGGCCTTCCCCGGCTCGGCACTACCCGCCACCCACCGGCCACCGGGGCTGGACGGACGCCTCTCGGCCGCGGTGGGCGTTGCTGACGATAAGGCTCGCGGCTGTTACTCGGGGGACTCGGGGTCGGGGCGAGCCACACATGTGGCATTGCCCGCCGATAACAGGGTGGGGGCGGCGAGCTCGCGCTGCGCTGCCCAGCAGCCGCCCTGGTGCGGCGCGGCGGCGGGGGAAAGGGGAGGGGGAAGGACCATGTGACCGCCCCGCCCCGCCCCGCCCCGCCCCGCCAAGGTGTGCCCCTCCACTCCACTTTATAGTCAACAGTAAGCGAGTTGACTCATGCGGCGCCACGGCCGCGCCACCGCGCGTAGCACGACGCTGCTCTCTGCCTGGAAGGATTGCGCCCTGTCTGCGTCCTCTTGGTCGTCTCATTGTTGACCGTCCACCAGCCACAGCCCCGTCCCGCATCGCCCTTCTGCCACCGCGGCCCGTCGACGCGCTCTTTTCGACAACAGCAAGGCAAAGCAACAAGTCTGGGTTGCCCCGGTGCTAAGTTGTTTCATTTCACGGCCGAAGAGGAGGAGCCCAACACGGAATGGTCTCCTGTGGGAATGTAGAGGGAGACAAAGTGACTCCCCCCCCCCTCGCCCCACCGCCGCCACAGGAGTTGGTTGATCTGTTTTGGAGGCTGGCTTGGCTTGCGTGGGGGGACTCGCGAGGGACGCACCGTCCGGCCGTCCTTCTGTTTTACTTCCGGCCTCCCGCCCAGTCATGCATGCCTGGTCACCAGGATGCGCCAGGCTCGCGGCCCGGCCCGGCACCCAGCGCAGGACGGCCGCGAGCCCCCGCGTGCACGCGTCACCGCGGCCTGCTGCGTTGAAATGTCACTTAACTGCGCCTACAACACATCCCAGAGGCTCTGATCCACTGCGCCACCCCGGAGCCTTTGTTTTTGTCGGCGTTCGGGATCGCGGCAGCAGGGCAGGAGGTGGTGGAAGTGGGTGAAGGTCACCCTCCGCTGGCGCTCCGTGCTGCTCAGCCGCGTCGACACCGGGAGCAGAGCAGGAGCCGACGGCTCGGCCGACGGCCGGAGTATAGGGACTGGGCGCCCCGGCCAGGGAAGGACCACGAGCGGTTTTAGACGGAGGTACTGGTACTCTTGATCGTCGACCGGCTCGGCCGGTCAAGTGATCTGGATGCCGCTGGATGCAACCTGATGCTGATTACATACATGCCTGGCGGCAGGTCACCCCCCCCCCCCCGGGTCCCTCTCCCAACCTCTTTCCGGGCGCAGCACGCTTCCTGGAGTTTTCCCTGCCAGGGTCACCTTCCTCCGGATCGGGTAGTCCGGCTGACAGGCTCTGCGTGTTCTGCGAACTGTTCACTTCAGCCACTTTGCACGGACTTTGCTAAACGACGTGAAACAGCATGAAGAAACTATACTTTTCAATCAAATCGCCTATCTCCGCGGCCCGCCAAGAAGTTGTTCTCTTGAACAAGTTCCTCTGGCATCCTTATTTCTGCCGGTATGTCGAGTGCTCGCGCGCCCCGCACTCCACTTGAGCTCCCGAAGGGCGGAACGCGTATCACCCAGGGCTGCCTCCGACCGAAATAGAGACAAAGCGACAACGGTCTATTACATTACTTGCCACTCGCGAGTGGGCGGGACTGACGCCCTGTGTGCCGCACCGCCTCGCCGCCCCGATGCACTTCGCTTCAGCGGGCGCGCGGCTTGGGTTCGTCGCTGTTTCCTGTTGCGGTTCACGCCCTTCCTCCGCGTTGTTGTGCGTCTCCCCATCGCGGACGCGACGCGGCCACCAAACTCTCATCGCCACGCGGCGCCACGTTCACGTTGGGCAGGTTTGTGAGGTTGTCGTGCTGGTCGCCCGGTCACCGGTCACCTACTTCTTGTCCAGTGATGGCATGTGCACACCGTGCACACGGAAGGCGTGAAGCGCCCAGCCCAAGCCAAACAGGGCACAACTCCAACTGTCGTGCCCCAAACAGCAGAGGCACTTTACGCCTCGGCTGGAGGCTTTTCTGTCCCGGGTCGCCGCTGTTGCTACGACGATCCTACTTCTCTTTGAGCTGGTGGCCGCCAGCTGCGGGCATAGCCTAGGAGTAGACCCAGCTGCGCGGGGTTCTGTGTGCGGGTCCTTGAGGAAATCTCACTGTTTTGAACTGTGGGCAGGACGCTGGCCTGGCGGCGGCGGCAAGAGCAGACCAGCTGGTCGTGCCGAAATGGCTCATAACTCGCGAGAGCCGCGGGCGAGAACGCTGGTAAGTCACGCGTGCATGCCTTCCCGCCAGGCGAACTCGGCGACTATTTGATTTGGTCGATGACTCGCGCCGTGGACGAATGAGTGGGCGGTGCGGGTCGTGATCGCGCGGCGCCACGCCACAACAGTCGAGGTGTGATGCTCTTAACTTACTCTCTTCGCGCAGAGGTGTTAGATCACCCCCCCCCCCTTCACCCTTTCACTTGATGAGTGATTGAGACGGATCAGTTCCCTCCAGCGGGGCCCACAACTGGGCTATGGACCGCTCGGAGGCTGCGGCCCCGGGGCGGGGCGGGCAGGAAGTCGCCTCCTTGCGCGCTGCTGCCAGGCTGCTGCTGCCGCCGCCGCCCTGATTCCATCGGCTGCGAGGTGTCCATCTTCATGGTCGCGGGGGCCCCTCCGCTTCTTGTCGCCCCGGTCCGGCCCCAGCCTCCCGCCGCGTCTCATCGCTCCTCCAGCTCCAGCTCCCATCAGGACTTGGCTGCCGCTGCACTCAACGTGACGTCCAGCGCGAAGTGGTGACATGCCGAGGCGTCACGGGCGGGGCG